TTATACACCCTTTTTGTTTCTTTCGTTTTTTTTTTTCGACGTAATTAGATGAAATAACTATCCCTGCCAGGATGAGCCCATCGGGGCTGTTTGGACCCCCTCTCTCTCTCAGAGAGAGGGGGGCCTAGAAAAAAAAATAAGAAACTAAAGATATAGGGTGAAGATACAGTCCAATTATAGCTGAAAAGCTATAAGTAAATTGAATTTAGATTATGCAACTGTATTCTCATTAGCTCCATACATGAATGAAAATGTTGTTACTATTGTAGGTATATGTTTATTAATTGGAGCTATGGCTAAAAGTTCTCAAATAGGACTTCACGTATGACTACCTATGGCGATGGAGGGTCCTACTCCAGTTAGTGCATTAATACACGCTGCCACTATGGTTACGGCGGGTGTATATCTATTAATGCGTTCATCTCCTTTAATAGAATATAGTTCAACAGTGCTAATGTTATGTTTATGATTAGGTGCAATTACAACAGTATTTAGTTCTCTAATTGGTTTATTCCAACAAGATATTAAAAAAGTTATTGCTTATTCTACAATGAGCCAGCTTGGAATGATGGTTATAGCTGTAGGTTTATCTTCTTATAACGTGGCATTATTCCATTTAGTTAATCATGCGTTCTATAAAGCGCTTTTATTCTTAGGTGCTGGAGCAGTAATTCATGCTGTAGCTGATAATCAAGATTTTAGAAGATATGGTGGATTAAGACCATTTTTACCACTTACTTATTCAGTTATGCTTATAGCTTCTTTAAGTTTAGTAGCTTTCCCATTCATGACAGGGTTCTATTCAAAAGATTTTATTCTTGAGTCTGCTTATGGTCAGTATTATTTCTCTGGTACTGTTGTATATATAATAGCTACTATAGGAGCAATGTTTACTACATTATATTCTGTAAAAGTGTTGTATTTAACATTCTTAGCTAATCCTAATGGACCTTTAATCAATTATAAAAATGCACATGAAGGTGATATCTTTATGAGCTTACCTTTAATGATTTTAGCTGTATTCTCTATATTCTTTGGGTATATAACAAAGGATATGTTTATAGGATTGGGTTCAGGGTTCTTTTCGGATAATGCTTTATTTATACATCCTTCTCATGAGATAATGTTAGATACTGAATTTGGAGTACCAACTCTATTTAAATTATTACCTTTACTATTCACTATTTCATTAAGTGTAATTGCTATAGTGTTGTCTGAATACTTATCTACTATACTAATTTACTTTAAATTATCTAGAGTAGGTTACAACATATTTAGTTTCTTTAATCAACGTTTCTTAATAGAGCTATTTTACAACAGATATATTACAGGTATTGTACTAAAACTTGGTGGACAGACTACTAAAGTAATAGATAAAGGATCAGTAGAGTATTTAGGTCCTTATGGGTTAGAGAAAGGACTATTAAATATAAGTAATAACATTGCTAGATTAAATACTGGTGTTATTACATCTTATGCATTATATATCTTAATAGGGTTAATCAGTTATCTTTTATTTAGTTCATATATTAATAGTTCTAATATTATATTAGTATTAGTTATCTCTTTATCCTTAGCATTGTTTCAAAGAAAATCTATTAGCTTCAAAGGTGATAGTTTACAAAGTTCTTCTGGCCTAGAGGAGGCATTAACACGTTTGTCCCAATATACTAGGAGATTACCTGGTATTGATGATTTGGCAGAAGAGGCAAATGTTAATGTTATGTCAAACGGGTCAAATAATGAAATAAACAGGATAGCTGAAGTGGTAGAACAAAAAAAAGAAGTGGTTGCAGATTTGAAACAACAAGTAGTGAATATGGCAAACTCAGAGTTACAAGCACCAAATATTACAGCTAGTGAAGTTGAAAATATTAATATGATTAAAGATGATGCTGTATTGGTAGCAAGGGAAGCTGCAGAGATTCTTGCTGAAGCTATGAAAGCTGCTGAAGCTTTATTTTCTTAACGATTATGCACAGAATAGTATAATAACGGTTAAATTACCATTAACTTGTTATGTTATAGGACTATATTAGCTAATCACATAACAAATCCCAGTAGATCTATCTTTAGAGTTAGCTGGAAAATTGCAGTTACCTGATGTAAACTGCAATTAGGGGAGAAGATAAACAGATGTTTAATAAAGCCCTTTTATCTTCCCCCGTATGGGGGAGGAAAAATAAAAAGATAGTGATAGGGATTCACTCTATTAGGAGAGCATTCGGGTTTTCTTTTTAGTTTATAAAAAGAAGAAGGTTTAATCTTCGAATCTTTTATTTTATTTACTTATTATGTATATGCTTATACACTATAAAATCATTATTTATTCTAAAATATATAACCTGCCCAAGTTAAATAGATAATTACCTTGATTTATTAAAATAAACTTTTATATGTAATTTTAATATCATATTTTTTAAATTTAAAATGTTATATTTTCCAACGATTATTTCTGTTCTTGAAGTATTGGCTGTTACTGTACCTGTTTTACTAACAGTAGCTTTTGTAACTATAGCTGAGAGAAAAACAATGGCTAGTATGCAAAGAAGATTGGGACCTAATGCAGTGGGTTGTTTAAAATGAAATCTTACACAGAAAAGAACTTTTCATTCTTCTTGTGATGCTTTGAGTGAATTATACTGTAATAGAAAAGCCCCCGTTATTGAATTTTCGGATGATGTGCTTTTTACTTCTACTTATTTACTTAATCCATCTGTGATGCTATCTTTCTTTAAATCTTTAAAAGGGAAAGGGGGTGTTTATATGTTTAGATACAAAAAAGACCCTAAAGTTTTTTATATAGGGAGAACTAAAGACTTTCACAAAAGATTTAAAGATCATTTGAGTTCTAACTTAAAGGATAGATTTCATAAATTTGCTAATTCAATTGGTTGAGATCAATTTGAATTTTCTATTATAGAGATCTGTGATCTTAGCATCCAACAAGATAGAGAAGATTTTTACTTGCAAAAATACTTACCTTTATTAAATACTATCTTTAAAAGTAATTTTAGTGAAATACAATCTTATGACTCTTTATATGAGATATTAAGACTTAGACAGTCAAAATTTGATTCAGATAATAAAGATTTATACCTTTATGTTTATGAATATTGTAATAATCAAATTAGTACTAATTATCTACTATTTAGTAGCATAAGTGCGTCATCAAAAAAATATGGTATAGCTAGAGAAACAATTAGTGTTTATTTAAATACTTATGTACCCTACAAAAATCTCTTATTTTTAACTAATAAAATCGAATGTTTTGATTTAGCAGGAAAACTAGTTAGTGATGCTATGCAAGGATTAAATTTAAATCATAATATAGCTAAAAAAATATGGATGTATTTTATAGAATCAAAAGATACTGTTGTTAAAACAGAATTAGAGTCTAAAAGTGCAGTAGCTAAATTATTAGGTGTACAACATTTAGTTATAACTAATCATCTAGATAAACTAATAAAAGGAGGTATTAATGGTCATTATATATTTAATCATGAATTAAATGATTTAGAGTTGGAAAAACTAATTGAATTCTCATCGTTAAGAAAAACGAGAAATCGTACAGTATGAGCTTATAATGCTATAACTTTAGAATTAATTACTGATTCATTTAATAGTATTCAAAAAGCAGCTGAATTTTTTAATGTTGATTACAGATCTGTTGTTAGACACTTAGATACTGAATTAGCTACTAAAAAAGGCAATTATTTAGTGTTATTTTTTAATGATAAATTGACTGATTTAAAGAGAAAAGAACTACTAAATAATTTAAAATTAGCCAAAAATGAGACTACTGAAATTTGAGTTTATAAAAAATTAGATGATAAATTCATTCTAATGAATTCCAATGAAACTGGTTTTAGTTCAAAACATTTAGCAGCTAAAGAATTAAAATTAAGTCATAAAACAATTAGTAAATTTTTGAATACTCATAAAGACTATAAAGGTTTGTATTTTTACAGTATTAAATTGTAAGATAAAAAATAAAGTGTAAGAAACTTTATTAGGCCCATCAGTGAAAGAGAACCTTTTGCTATAAACCATCAAATTGACGGGAACACCTTAAAGCTATTTCAACTAAATGTATTAGGTAACTAGATACATGGCCCAGGTAATGACTCGGGGTATAGTAAAATCGAAATAGATGTATGAAAAGAAATAGGCGACCCGCAGCCAAGTACCTATTATCTTAGGTATGCAGTTCATCGACTAAACGGTGGTTGGCATAAAATTTTTGCAATTTTATGCTTAAGATATAGTCAGACCCTGCTTGAAAAAGTACAGGGTATAAATATAAATATTTATACCTGGAAATGGATAGTTACACTATTTAGGGAGAAATCCTCAATTCTTTACCTTTATTATGTATAATAAATGGTTAAATGAGGACATTCGTGATATGGTCTACTTCAAGCATTTGCCGATGCTCTTAAACTTTTATTAAAAGAGTATGTTTCTCCTACACAAGCCAATATAGTATTATTTTTCCTTGGTCCGGTTATAACTTTAATCTTCTCATTACTTGGATATGCAGTAATACCTTAGGACTATAGGGTAATATAGACAAATTCCGGGTAACCCCTAAAGCTTCTGGTACCAAACTTCAAACGAAAGTTTGAAAGTGGCTGAAGTAATTACTCAGGTAAGGTAATAAGCCAGATGATTCTAGTTACTTTTTAGGTTTCCTAGGCTACGTAGTCTATAAATAATAGCCTACATATGCTTACTCCGTATGCTTAATTCTGCAAAACTTAGTAGCATAAATAAGTGAACTAGGGACTAGTAATAGGAATGGGCAATCGCGGATCTAAATCAGTTGTAAGATATTATTCTGCAGTTGTAAAAGAGCAACGAGTAAACGTCTATAGATATTTACAATATCCACAGCTATCCTTTTGGGATGGTCCCCTTCAGGGGTCCAGACCTAAAGGTCAGTCCCCCTTTTGGGGACTAGGAGAATCCACCCCGGAGGGGTGGATGTTTGTAATATATTTAAGATGTATTCTAATGAGCTTAGTAATAAGCTATGATTTTGTGTAGAAAAATTTTCTACGATTCACCATTAATTGGTTTTAATTCTTTAAACGTTAATACTCGTCGTTATTATGCTACATTAAGTAATAATAAACATAAGATTAACGATCTACAAATCGATCCTTGATTTATTACAGGGTTTAGCGACGGTGAAGGTTGTTTTTCTTGCAGTGTCTTAAAAAGTTCCTCTTATAAATTTGGTTGAGAAGTTCAACCAATTTTTCAAATTAAACTACATATTAGAGATTATCCGCTTTTATTAAGAATCCAACGTAGTTTAGGTGGAATTGGTACTGTAAGTAGTAACCAGTCTTCTTCTGCCTTTAGAGTCAAAAAATTAAGTCAGCTAATAGAATTAATTCTATTTTTTGATAAATATCCTTTAATATCTCGAAAAAGAGGAGATTATTTATTATTTAAACAAATTCTATCTATTATTCAATTGAAAGAACATTTGACTTTACAAGGTTTACAAAAGATTATTAATATAAAAGCAACCTTAAACTTTGGTTTATCAAAAGAATTACAATTAATGTTCCCCGAAACTGTTCCAGTTCCCCGTCCTTTAAGAGAAACCTGTGTAATACCACATTCACAGTGAATAGCTGGGTTTACTTCAGCTGAAGGTAATTTTTCTGTTTCTTTAGACAAGGGTATCTTTAAATCTCTATTATTTAAAATAACTCAGCATGAAAAAGATGAGGTATTATTAACTGCAATTAAAGAATATTTTAATTGTGGATATTGTTATTTAAGAAAAAAAGAAAATACAATAGATTTTAAAGTTACAAAATTTTCTGTCGTTAATGAAATAATTATACCTTTCTTTATTAAAAATCCGATTCTAGGTGTTAAATCCCTAGATTTTAATGATTGATGCTTAGTTTCGGACATAGTAAATAAAAAAGAACATAAATTAGAAGAAGGTGCCTTAAAAATAATTGAAATTCAAGGGGGAATGAACAGGGGGAGAAGTAAGTAAATTTTTTTTACTAAAAACTTTTTTTTGTATGGTCCTGGTTTAGTGTTACTAGATTATAATTTGGGTATATTATATATGTTGGCTGTGTCTTCATTAGCTACATATGGAATTCTGCTGGCTGGATGGTCAGCTAATTCTAAATATGCTTTCTTAGGGTCTTTAAGAAGTACAGCTCAATTAATTAGTTATGAATTAATTTTAAGTTCTGCTATACTTTTAGTTGTATTATTAGCAGGTAGCTTAGACATAACTGTTATTATAGAAGCTCAAAGAGCTATTTGATATGTAGTACCTTTATTTCCTATATTCATTGTATTTTTCATAGGATCTATAGCAGAAACAAATCGTGCTCCATTCGACTTAGCAGAGGCTACTGATTTGGTCTCTTTAAAGATCACCATATGCTGAAACCCCCCTTTTTCGACCTTTTCTATTAATTAATAAAAAGGGGCAATCAGCAGGAAATTTAACATATAAAGTATGTTATAATCCTCAGAGACTACACGTGGTCATTTAATGTAAGTATTTATGTTAAATAAGATATAGTCCAATTTTGTATGAAAATACAAATAAAAATTGAAATTAAATTCAAACATTCATTCTACTGTGCTTACCTTAGAGGCAAGTAACATAACACATGTGGCTTATATTATCAAACCTAAGCAAAAAGTTTGAACGGTAGCTAGCCGTAGACATTATTCTACTTCAAATTCAAATCCTCCATCATTTGATCTATATCCTGTTCCTATTTTAATTCTTGATGATTTAAATAATAAAGATTGCATTACATCTTATAGAGAATTATTAAAAGGCAAAGCAGGTATTTATTCTTTTATTAACACTGAAAATGGTAATCAGTACATCGGAAGTGCCAAAGACTTTTATTTAAGGCTTAATGAACATCTGAACAATAAAAAGTCTAACGTTGCTTTACAAAAATCATTTGTTAAGTATGGCTTAGATAAATTTCTATATATATGAATATTTTACATATGAAAGTAAAATTATAAGTTCTAAAGCTTTAACTGATTTGGAAACCAGTTATATAAAAAAATTTCATTTTGATACTCTTTATAATTTTAAGGCTAATGCTACAAGCTCATTAGGTTATAAACATACTGAAGAAGCTAGACTAAAGATGACAGAGTATTATAAAAATAAGACAAATCATCCTATGTTTGGTAAAACTCATACTAAAAAAGCGCTTGATTTAATCAGTAAACCTGGTGAGTTAAATCCAATGTTTGGAAGAAAACATAGTGAAGTAACTAGATCTATAATAAGTGAAAGAAAGAATAAATACCCTTTAGGTGTAGGTTTATATGATCTAGATGGCAATTTAATTTCAAAGTTTAAAAATAATGTAGAGTTAGCTAAACACTTAAATATTTCTAAGGTTACAGTGGGTAAATATTTAAACTTGGGTCTTGTGTATAATAACACATATCGGTTTAAACCTATAGAAGATTAATGTGTATTTAATCTCTTTTTTTTTAATTGGAATCAGAACTAGTTAGTGGGTTTATGACAGAGCATTCCGCTGTTATTTTTGTATTCTTCTTTTTAGCTGAATATGCTAGTATAATTCTTATTTGTATTTTAAATAGTATTTTATTTTTAGGTGGTTATCTGTTTGACTTTAACTATTATCTATATCCTTACTTTTATTTACTGCAATTTATTGCAGGAGATAGTTATATGTATTTAACAGAAAATGAAACTAATTTTAATGTAATTGACTTTGATAATTACAATTCAGTAATAGGAACAACTATAAGTGGTGTGGTAATAGGTCTTAAAACTTGTATAATGGTATTTGTATTTATCTGAGCGAGAGCCTCATTCCCACGTATACGTTACGACCAACTTATGTCCTACTGTTGAACTGTTCTGTTACCAATAGTAATTGCATTTATTATACTAGTCCCATGTATATTATACAGCTTTGAAATAATGCCTGTTAATATACCTTTACTTTAATGTATTTTTATCTACGTATAGCTACTTTTACAACAAAAAGTTCACCACCTACTGAGGAGGAAAATGGAGATCCAACTCCTTTGAGAAATTATACAAATCTTCACGAATAATCTACAATAGAACTATTAAACAAGGATTTAAACTCTTTAAGTGGTATATACGCATTTAAGTATAATGATACTAGCAAAATATATGTAGGTAGTTCTATTAATTTATCTATAAGAACGGTAGAACATCTGGAAAAAAAATCGAAACTCTAATATCTATTTGCAAAATGCTTTAAAAAAACATGGCTTAAATAATTTAACTTTATTTTAGATATATTACCTGTAAATATTTCAGAGCTAGCTTATAACTCACAAGCTGAACATTATGCAAATTGAATTGAATTAGAACAAAAGTATTTAGATCTTTACATAAATAAGTATAATATAGATCCAATTACTAGTAAACCTAGAGCAGGCTCTAAACATACGGAAGCAACTAAAAAGTTAATGAGTAAAATAAGAACGGAAAATCCTTATTTCTTAAATAAAACACACAGTCCTGAATTCATTGAAAAAATTCGAATACGTATGGGGGATAGTGTAATAGTGTAAGGTGTACTCCAATAGCCCCCAACAAAGAGATATGTAATAAATCGAAACAGGGCGTTATTTAATAAGCTAAATCCTGAGATGGATTAATATTAACAAAGCGTGATAATGCCTTGTAATATACCTTTTTTGTAAATTAAATAAATATATGTTAATAAATAGATATATTTTTATATATTTAAATGTGTAATATTTTAAATATAATACTGCAACAAAAATTTTTTGGATGCGTATAATTTATTATAGTATAGCTTTTTTATATTTTTTTTAAGTAACTTTTCTAATATTTTTTCTATATATTGTAAGTATAATATTAACATAGATCCTATAATAGAAAAGAAAGTAAATATATGTCTATAAAAGATTATATCATGGAAATAAAATTATATTTATATAAAAATTTATATGATGGAAATAAATTATATGCCTTCCAACAGATAATGGATATCTGTTGCGGTCTATCCTTTTTTCGGCATAGAAGTAGTAATTTTATACTTTTATATTTTATAATTACTACTAGTCCTCTTATCTTTTTTTAGTAAATTCGAACACTCGAAATTACGTCGAAAAAAATAAAAAAAGGGTTGAAAAAAAAGAACATGTTCTTTTTTCTACCCATGAGGGACTAGATAAAAATACAACTAATATAGCTGTAGGTATATAAAGATATACACAATATTAAGTAAATATATTGTTCTATAAAATGTGAAAAATCTAGTTAGCATAAATTAATGACTGCTAACTCAACCCTTTAACCCAAAAGTACCATTTCTTGTCTTAGAATTAATAAGGGTATACTGTACATTAGATTTAGCGTAACCTCTTAGCATAGTAGATGATTTATTATTAAATGAGGAACGTATGTTTTTTAAGCTACCTGCATATCTATACTTAAATACTGCTCTCATAGCTGTTAAACGTCTTGTTAATCTACCTGATGCTTCAAATCTTACACCACTTACTACTTGTTGTTTTATAGTGTTTATAATATTGTTTTTATTCATTGCTTCAATATTATCATCGAATGTTATAAGTGTATGTAAATCAGGTATTCTTACCATTTGTAAGATAGCTTTTCTTAAAACTCTTACTGCTTTATTTTTCCTATCTCTTAATTTTAGAGCTACTGCTGATGAAAAAACGTCACTGTTTAAATGTATAGATCTTAATTCAACTAAATTAATTTCTACCTTTTTGTTATACAATTTTTCAATTAAACTAATTAAACCAAAATTTCTTAAGTTTAGATTTAAGCTATTAAATTTAGATTTATTAAAATTAAGCAATTTTAATGAATTAAATAATATTTTTTGTAATCTAACTAATTTTTTTAAAAGTCTAATGTTATAAGTAGGTATATTACTTAATTTAAGGTATTTTCTTCTTAAATTTACTAGGAAGTATCTAATTAAGTTGTTATTTGTTTTAAAGAAAGCCATATTTCATTTTCTAAATATGAAAAAGTTATTCTTTAATAAGGAAGGTATTCTGTTTTTATGGTTTGGTACAAATCCTCTTTTTATTTTATTTTTATAAAAATTAACTCATCTAATAGTTTTTAATCTTGTAGGTGTAAAATATTTTTCTGAACGATCCTCTAAAAAGATTTTTTTTCCACCAACCATCAGATTTTCAGCTAAAAATAGTCTAAAATCTTCTAATCTTGTAGGTGTAAGATATTCCGAAAATATTTTAGATCCGTTGGCTATTAGACCTCCATCCAAAAATATTTTATCTCCATCAACTATTAATTTTCTATATTTTACAAGTACAAGAATTTTTAATAAATATCACTCAATAGATGATTTTTGTTTATTGTATAGATACAACGTAATAAAAAGTTTAGTGTTAGTATGTTTTAGCTCAGCTCTACTTGCATAGATTTTATTTGCTGAATAACGAATCTTGTTATCACGTCTACGTTTAAAGAGAATTTTTATTTTATCTTGTAACATATTACAATAACTTCTAAGTAATGTATTTAATACTGCATCTTTACTTATTAAAGATTTTAAGTAGGATTTATTGTAAGAGTATACACTACTTAATCATTCTTTACTAGAAGAATGGTGAAAAATAATATTATTATATTCATCTCTTTCAGAATTACTTTGTATTTTATTACTTTTTTCTATAATATAGTTAGTATTTAATGATTTATCATTAAAATTATTTTGTTTATTTTTGAATATGTTTAACATAGAATGTTATTATGAATTATTGGTATGAATTAGGGCAAAGCAATGAAAATTATAAGTTTAATTAAAAACATTGTACATTCTTAATAGATTGCTATTATTTTGTAATATTAAATAGCATATAAAGTATATTTTAGAATGATTACATATACTTAAAGAATAATGAGAAATAAGTGATTTGAACACTTAACCTTGTTCTTTTTATAAACTAAAAAAAGCCGAATGCTATCCTAATGGGGTGAATCCCTTTCATTCTCTTTTTATTTTTCCTCCCCCAATACGGGGGAAGATATAAGTCTTTACCAGACCTAAGTTCATCTTCTGCCCGATTGCTATAAATATAAATCTATTTTGCAATCTTCCAGCAAAAAATATTTATCTATTGGAATTTGTTATAGTTTTGCCCCATGTATTTTAAACACAAGCGAACAGTTTTCATAACATGTTTATTGTAAAAACCTGTTAAACATTAAGATCCTCAATAATATATGGATACAAATAAGAATAATCATACAACATCAACAAAATGTCAGTAAAGTATTCCGGCTTCTAATCCTAGATGATGGTTATTTGTTAGCGGTTTTATGTCTTTAGCCTTTGCCTATAAAAACAATGCATTAGGCTGAGCTGACGTATTTTATTAAGCCAATCTTATACTTCGACCTTACTTAAGATAGTCTCAAAAGCGACGTTACCGTAGTACCATAGCTTGTTATAAGTTGGCGCCCTTTTTCAAGGGCAACTAGAGCACATCTTACTCATTTCAGAGTATCACCGTATGCTCGTTGCTCTTTTACTGGTTTCCCAATGTTAGATCCGCGATTACCCATTACTTTTTCAAGATATCCTTGTTAATATTACCTTACCTTACACATTACTGCAAGCCGCATTGAGACTTTTCACCCAATGTTTGGTTAACAAGGCTATTAGGGGGTTCCCGGAGTTTGGCGATAAACCACCTTCAAGCTGTCTGCTCACACAGCCCTACAAATATAATAACCCGAATTTAACGAACTCTTCCTTTTCGAGACCCCTTGTACGAACCTGCAAATAGAACAAACAAAAATTAACTTTTTTTGTTTAGATTAAAAAAGATATAACCCCTTACTGGTTTACCGGTATCTAAATACCTATTAATAGTAGTCATAGGTACTTTATCTTGTAAACCAAGGTATGCCTCTCTAACACTATTAAAATTAAAGGTTTTACCTGATTTAACCTCTTGTACAACTATAGGTTTAACTCGCCCCCTTTTAGTGGTGTCGACATTTGGAATTATGTTTTTGCCTACTTCCAAGGTAGCTGAATCTGAATCCACTAAAACCCTCTTTGTATTCATATTTTCTCTAATTTTACGTATTTGGTCTAAACCTTCAGGAGTCAAATGTTTTTTGGCTATAATTAAATGAATAGTTTTACTTCAACAAAGATAATCTTTTTCTTTTATACCTACTATTTTATATTGTGAGAAAAAAGGTATAATATAGTTAGCAAGGGCAGAGACGTCAGAAACTAAATAATCACCATGCCGATGGTCTTTGGAAAGGTAATACTTACCACAACCAAAGTATTTTTCTAAAAGAGTAAGCATCTGCCTATCCCTAACATGTTGAGTTAATTGAAATCCAACCCTCACTCTATATCCTAATTTACTCTTGGTATCTTTACCAATATTAAAGAAAAAACATCCTTCTCCC